CTAAAAGCTTGTGTTTTACAAAATTTCATTTATTTACTAGTTGCCAAAATAATGAGTTGGTTTCCTACTCAAAAGTAGTGACCAAGGACTTTTTTCTCTTTGAGGATTAGCAACTCACATATTTATGAATATTTGAAGTGTTTGAATCCATTGTAGTTCATATTTCTATTGATGCTCAAATTACTTCATCATTTCCTAGAGGGAGATCTCTTGACTTCTGAGTTTGAAGGCATGTCTAGACAATTTGGATAAACTACCTTATAATTGCCCTTCAGTTTCAGTGACCAAGTTTCATTTGCATTTATCCCAGTACATAGTAGTAATGCTTCAATTATTTTATTCTAACATCAAATGAAAGGAGATAAGCGAATAGACCTAAAATGTAAGTAATACATTTATGTCAAGTTGAGGTGAAAAAAATGCGCCATAACATGTTCTGGGATGTGGGGCTTATAGTATTTCAGATAGGGGAAATTGGGTGAAAATGGAGGCATCACTTGGTATGTATAGAGATAGTGATGCTAAACTCTTAGCACCTGTACCATTGGAGTCTGTACCATAGTCTTGTGGGGAGCGTTACTTAGTTTCAGCAAAAAGACATCATCCATCATAGTAAATCTTAAATGAGTTTTATTAGTATTTTTTTCATTGTTTAGTGTTTTTTTGTTTTGTTTTGTTTTTTGTTGCTTTGTTTTGTTTTTTCATTTAATTTCAAGTTGGGCCTGCTTTTTGCATCTAGTTAAGGGTTAAAATATTAAAGAATATGGAACAACTTTCATAATATCATTATCTCTTTATCTCTTTGTTTTTGTGTTTTAAGAGTTATTGGCTTCATACATCATGATTAGATTTTGTGCAGTATCTCTTGTGTTACTCCTACTTGAAATGTAGATTTTAATTCTATTACATTTTTAGTTTTGTATCTTAGGATCTGTTTTTGCCATATTTGTAGTAGTAATTAAAAAATGTTTACCTTGGGGCGCCTGGGTGGCGCAGTTGGTTGAGCGTCCGACTTCAGCCAGGTCACGATCTCGTGGTCCGTGAGTTTGAGCCCCGCGTCGGGCTCTGGGCTGATGGCTCAGAGCCTGGAGCCTGTTTCCGATTCTGTGTCTCCCTCTCTCTCTGCCCCTCCCCCGTTCATGCTCTGTCTCTCTCTGTCCCAAAAAAATAAATAAACGTTAAAAAAAAAAAATGTTTACCTTTTACCATTTACATTATAGTTCTTGGTTTTTATATATCAGCCTGTTTATCTGTTCAGTGGCTTATGATATCTTTTTAGAGTTTTAAAATGAGGTTGCCAAATAATTGGTCTAACCTTTTATAAATTTCCGACATTGTTATTACTTCTAGATTTTAGGGTAATGTATCATTTGTCTTATTCTGTACTATTTTCCATATGGTTCCATGGTGGGGTTTTATTTTGTTTTTGTTTTTGTTACTAGGAAGTGTGTGTGTGTGTGTGAATGTGTGTATAAATTCATTTTATTCATCAGCTTTTAGTTACAGCTTAGGGTTTGTTAGCAAATAAGCCCACATAAAAAGGATGCTGGCAAGTTCTCCTTCTGGCATCAGTAGATAAGATTATTTGGGATCAACTCTCCTATTTGGAACAGTTAGAAAAGCAAAAAAAAAAAAAAAAAAAAAGAGGTGGGTGCCTGGGTGGCTCAGTTAGTTGAGCATCTGACTCTTGATCTCAGCTCAGGTCATGATTCCAGGGTCATGGGATTGAGCCCCATGTCAGGCTCTGCGCTGAGCATGGAGTCTGCTTAAGATTCTCTCCTTCTCTCCCTCCTCTGCCCATCTGCCTTGCTCATGTGCTTGCTCTGTCTCTTCTATAATACCAAAAATGAAGTAAAAAATAATACTGTGACTGTGAATCTAGCAGAGAACAACCAAGGCTGCGGGGAACTTTATAGTCTAGGTCTGATAAAGCTCTGGCAAAAATGAAAGTCTAGAAGGAGTCCTGCATCTGGGACTCTTCTCTTAAGTTAGTAGCTGATTTCAAAAGAGATTGCTTAGAAGCGGAGAGGGTAGGATGAAAGCTATCAATAGACTGAAGAGGCCGGGGAGACCAAAACTAGAATTTAGGAATCTTCCAGCTTTCATTTGAGACCCCAAAGAGTGATAGTGTAGGAAAAATGATGAGGTGAAAATGAGAGAAGAGATGAACTGAAAAATAGACCAGCCCTGGTGGGAGCAGAAGCCCAGTTTTCAGTCATCTTGGTTCCTAACTAGATTAAGGTGGTTTCAGTTTCCTGGTGATTCTAGCCTGACTTTGTCTCAGAAGAAAAACCAAATCTCTTCTGAAGGAAGATGTCATCATCTAGAGTTTCAAATAATCTCCACAATTTTTCATATACAATGTCTATGACATGATAATCAGGCATAAGAAAATATAAGAGGTGACTGAAAATCAAGGGAAAAAACAGACAATAGAAACATACATGCTAATATTAAAAAAAAAATCTGATTAACCTGTTCAAGAAATTAAAAGACAAGATTGTGGATTTTGACAAAGGATTGGAAACCCCAAAAAAAGAACCAAATGAAAATTACAGAAACTGAAAAATATAACTAAAATAAGCAAATAAATAAAAACCAATCCTGTTGAGTATAGGTTAAATAGCTGTTTTTTACCAAAAAATGGCTGGAACTGATCCATGAATTCAGCAAAGTCGCAGTATATAAAATCAATGCACAGAAATCAGCTGCATTCCTATACACCAATAATGAAACAACAGAAAGAGAAATCAAGGAATAGATCCCATTTACAATTGAATTGGAAGATAGGCCAGCATAAGGTATCCAAAAAGAAAAATGGATGAATGAAAGAACCAAATAATTCAGAAAACGATGACATGGGATTTGGTAAAAAGATAGCTTGAATATATCTCAATTTTCAGAAGGAGAGGGAGGAGAGAAAGGGGCAGAAACAGTATTTGAAGAGATGATGGCTGAGAATTTATAACAGGGAAGATACTGAGGTACAGGTTCTATGATCTCTATGGGTCAAAGATGGGATAACTACAAGTAAAGCTTCACATTGTCATATCACAGTAAAGACATTAACAATCATAGTCAAACAGAAAATCTTAATAACTAGAGCTTAAAAGGGCAGACAACTCACAAAAAGAGCAGTAATAAGAAACAGCAGCTGACTTTGCTTCTAAAAGGATAATGACATCAGGCTTCACTTGAAAGATGTGAATAATAAAGATAAACAAGAAAAAGTTAATAGAGCTGGTTCTGTCACTAACTTGTGTGATCTAAAGTCATTTTACATTTCCAGTCCATTTTTCATGTTATAGTTTAGATTTGAGCTTCTTAACATGGTTTTACTTTATTTGGAGCTTACCCTAGGTTATTGATACACTGTTTTGTGTTCACTGTGTAAATACTTTGGTCTACTTACATGTTAGATTTAATGTTACTTATGTATAAATTACTCTCAAGGTCGACCTTGTTTTCCTGGGCCTCATCTGTTTATTTCTCTGGATTAATAGGCTGGGTTCTATAGCTAGTGAATGCACAGGCAGGATGGTTTGGGTATGTAGATCTCAATTTAGAGAAGTAGGGGACAGAGGTGTGGAAAAATATCTGCCCCCCCCCCCCCCCCCCCGCTGAAATGAGAACATTAGAGGTACATTCTTGAAATTTTATTTCTTTTAATCCAGAATTTTAACCTTGGTTTTCTAGCAGAGCTAAAGCCAGATAACCAAAAATGAAAGGGTTTGCTCATTTGTGATTCATATTCTTGTGTTTCATCTTGTGCTTTCCCTTCAATGGAGGCTACCTTTTTTTCTGCACAGTTCCCCAAGGAGACAACTCGTTTTCTTCCTAAGTGATGTTCTACTCTTTAATTCTGGCTGAATTTAGGAAACCCTCTCCTCTCAATCAGTTTTTTTGACATTCTCTTTAAAGAGTTATGGGTGACTTGTTCTATGGATCAGTTCATTATTAATATTATGTTTTATTTATCCTTGGATAGGATGCCTAGACTTTCAGGTTCTGAATTCCTAGCAATTCAGGGTATGTGGATTTTCTTCAGCTTTAATCTCTGTTCCCTTGGGTTTCATTTGAAACCTCTTTTCAGGTCTGTAGCTGGGTACAGCTCTGGACATTATTCTTTGTATTTGGTGTCTTTTTATTTAATACAGCCTTTTAGGTCAAAAAGATGTTTTCTTATAACCCCTGTTGGCTGACTCCCTAATAATCTGAAGAGAGCATTTGGACAACTGTAATCCCTAGTATGTATTAACAATTTGACATCTGACCACATAGTTTTCTGGGATTTGAAGTCTTTGAATCAAGAATTTAAAAAATGTAAGCGTCCGACTTCAGCCAGGTCACGATCTCGCCCTCCGTGAGTTCGAGCCCCGCGTCGGGCTCTGGACTGATGGCTCGGAGCCTGGAGCCTGTTTCCGATTCTGTGTCTCCCTCTCTCTCTGCCCCTCCCCCGTTCATGCTCTGTCTCTCTCTGTCCCAAAAATAAATAAACGTTGAAAAAAAAAAATAAAAAAAAAAAAGAATTTAAAAAATGTTCTGATACACAATTGGACAGTGCACATGATTTTAATAGAAGCAGTCACTCTAAGAGCTGGTCAGTTTCCTGTCTGTTACAGATCTGGGGCTTCTAAAGGAATGTTTACAAGAGAGGAAGACTCTCCTTTCAGACACATTGGCCTTCTTATGTTTTCTAAGCATGGGTGGCACATACATTAAACATTTTATCTGGAGACATCTCTTTCACATTCTGCTAATAGAAAGATGGAATAGGTAGCAACAGATGTTATTTAAAACCAGATTTTAGAATTGGCTCTAGAATATTTATGTTTACTATGTTTCTATTTCCTAACATAACTTACTTCAAATTTTTTTCGGATATAAAGTCTCTTTGGAAAGTCAGATTTTTCTGAAATAGCTTTAAAAATCTCTTGTCTGTTTGTATTTGGAGTTGTTTAAAGAGAATAAATTTTCCTTCACTATATTCTTTAATTTAGTTAAAAGAAAGCTTGGAACAATCAATAGGCCAATTGCGGAGTCAGCGTTTATTGAGAAACTCAGGAGGGAGAAGTATTTCTGTTACAAGTCTGAGTGCAAGTGACCTCGATGGTGGCACTGTGACAGGTAAACTCTTCAGAGATGTTTTGAAACCCCCCCTCCCCCCTTTTGTTTTGTTTTGTTTTGTTTTACAGATACTCCTGAAGTACATATTGAATGCATTTAATCTTTGGAGAAATAGAACCCATACATAAAATCATACAAATGATGTTTAGAAGATGCAGTTGTCAGTTATTTTATGGTGCCTAATTTGAAGTGTGTTCAGTGAGACTTTGTTACTCTATTACTTTTGTTCTCAGACTCGGTAGACCACAGAGGGCTTTACCTGACAAAACTTGGATTTAATTGTCTGCTTCTAATCAAAAGCAACACACAAATAGGATTTACTGTGTGTTATACTTTCTCGATTAGAAGTCTTGTCCCAGCTTCACAGTTTTTCAAAGTCTGATTAAGAAATATCCTATGACACTTGTTAAAAACAGGTGAATTTTATCTTTGGTGTGCAGCTAGATTTCAATGGCTAGATTAAAGCTGATAACACTTGGTTTGCCTGTAGTTAATCCTACTTAATACTTTCCTACAGCACTGAGATCACATATGAATAGAAAAGTATGCAGTGAAGAGAGGTGATTTAGATAGAAGTGAATATTAGCAAGTTGCATTGTTAATAATGCTATTGATCATGATAATAAGGATTAAAAATTGGACACAACCAGCTAATCTTTTTCATGTAGTTTTTATTGATTTTTAAACTATGTTCAGATTTTAGATTACTTTGTTGGAAAAATTCTGTTTTATTGGTATTAAGTTATATTTTAGAGAGAGAAGTTATTTTTATTTTCCAATTTATTATTTTTAAAAGAATATATTGCTTCTTTGAAAAGTATAGCAAATTAGAACTTTTGATATTTTCTATTTCTGTGTTATTTCTGTTGCTCATTTTATCTGCTTTAAGAACAAGATGAGTGCCACTTTGTGGCCTTAGCAAGATACTTGGGAAATAGTCTGGGTTAGGGCGTGTGTATATCCATGACTGATGTATATTTTCTGAGCAAAATTTTACACGTTTCTTCTCCTGCATGTTTTTATTCTCTCCGTTTTGTTTCATCTCTAAAGAGAGCTACCGTTTTCCACCTACCTCACCTCTCAAGGACTATGGGGATCATCAGGGGAGTAAACGAATTAGGTCCAGAACTGGTGTCCGATTTGTTCAGGAGACTGACGACATGGGCCAGGTACTTTGTACTAGTCTGTAATCTGCTTTTATCTTTTTTTTTTTTTTTCTTTTTAAACCAAGTAAACTATTTTATTTTCAGTGTACTAATTATCATTTATTTTGTATCTGGAGGATTATGTTTTGTGGAATATTTAAATATTTAAAATATTTAAAAATATTTAAAAATATTTAAAAATATTTTGTAGAATAGAATATTTAAATATTTAAAATACTTAAAAATATTTAAAAATATTTTGTAGAATATTTAAAAATGAGTTTAGTTTTGAACAATGTTTTATTTCCTTGTTCGGGTGGCTCATTCTTCGGTAAGCCCTGCTAAGTCAGCTACTTTCTATTTTGCTAATTTTGGTTTAGTGTAAACAAGTTAGTCCTTGTGTGGTTAACCTATTGATTTTTTTCATTGGTATTTTTCTGATTGTTGAATCATTGGTAGAGTTACTTAATTAGAAGCAAGAAATTTCATACTCTTTCCATGTATTTCATGTATTCAGTAAAGATTTTGGAAGTATTCATTCCAAGGGCATATATCTTTTTCTGCTTCTTTAAGCTTCCATACAAGAGCCGAAAAAATGTTTCTTGTTGCTTTGTGTAGCTAAATTAATTAGACAAAAGCTAGAGGATGTTGCTGACTTTGAGGTTTTTGTCTTGGTGGTTTCAGGATTGCAGCCTCAGAGCTTGTCAGGATACTCACCTGTAGCTTTTGCTTGTTACAGATTAAGACAGAGATAACAGAACCAAGTGCATGAGATGTCCCCTTGTAGAAACTTTTCCTTTACTGTGTGGGTTTTGGTTTTTTTTGGTAGGTGCAATTTACTAGCGTGTATTGTATGATTAAGCCTAGAGCAGAGAACAATATCCTAACGTTGTTCATTTACTTTTCCATTCTGTTTATTTAGTGCCATTGTTCTGGGACAGTGCTTGTGCTTGGGAATAGAGATAAGCAAAGACCTTGTGTTTTTGTGGAGTTTGTAATCTAAGGGGAGGGGCTAGATATTAAATAAGTACACAGATGGATCCATAATTGTGAGCTGAGATGCATGCTGAACAGTAAGCATAGGGTCATGGGAGTGTGTGGTAGAGGGACTTGCTCCAGACAGGGAAGGCTTCTTGAAGAAAGGCTGAGCTGAAATCTGAAAGTTGAGTGAGTCATTTTGGGTAGAACAGATACCTTGATAGGAAGGAAGCTAACACCTAGGGCAACTTAAAGGCCATGTGGCTGAAGAAGTATGAAGGACCAAGACTATGCATAGTCTTTGTAAGAGGATAACAATTATTTTGAAAAGATCATTCCACCTCTAGTGTAGAAAATGAAATCAGTGTGGGCAATCCAGTTAAGAGGATATTGCTGTGTTGTGGGTGTGAGATGGTGGTTACTTGGATTAGGATAAATGGAGTTGGAGAGAAGGTAGGGTAGACTTAAAAGCTATTTGGGTAAAATGAAAGGTCTTGACGATCAGATGACCATTTGGGGAGGGGGAGAATGATTGTAAAGGAGGGGTCAAGGATGAGTCCTAGGATTCTGGTTTGCAAAACTGGAAAATCATTGCAAAACCTAAGTGAATGGTCTGCTCTTCATCCACTGTATTACCTCCACTCCTTTTTAATTGTTCTTCCTTATTTTAAGTCTCTTAAGGTGACCTTTAGCTCCATGTGATAGGGTACTTTCTTATTTATTAAAAAAATTAAGTTTGTTTATTTTGAGAGAGCAAGTGGGGTAGGGGCAGAGAGAGAGACAGGGGAGAGAGAGAATCCCAAGCACTGATGGTGCAGAGCCTGATGCAAGGCTCAAACTCACATACTGTGAGATCTTGACCTGAGTTGAAATCAAGAGTTGGATGCTTAACCAACTGAGCCACTCAGGCGCCCAGACAGTGTGTTTTCCATAATGCTCTGCACATCATTTGTCATTTGTTTGCATGTCTATATCCCATGTTAAATTCTGAACCCCTTGTTTCCTACCACAGTTGCTGGCACTGATTAGTTGCTCAATGTACATTTGTTGAAATGGATTGATTTGTTGTTTATGCAAATCTCTATAACTTAAATATTTTTTTATTGTAAATTATAGTATACAGATACATATATGGTATACATATTTACAATTAAAAGTACAATAATGTAAATGAAAATCTATGTAACCACCATCCAGGCCAAGAATCCAAGCATTATTATACCCCTAAAGCCTCTTTTACACTTCCCCTTTCCCCAGGGCTATCAACTATCCTGACTTTTATAGTAACCATTCTCTTGCTTAAAAAAAAAAAAAAAAAAAAAATTATAATACATACATCTTGTTTAGTATTCCCTGTGTGTAAACTTTATATAAATAGAATAATACTGTATATCTTCTTCTGCTTTTTTTCAATTGATGTTATGTTTTTGACATTATAGCCTTACTAATGTGTACTTAGGTTTGATCATTTCATTTTTATTGCTGTGTTATACTCCACTGGGAGAACATATCACAATTTATATATGTTCCGTTCTTAATGGACTTTGTGTTTGTTTTCAGCGTTTTCATTATGAAAAGTGCCGCTCCAAACATTGTTGTACATGGTTCCTGGTGCATGTGGGCAAGAGTTTCTCTGCAGCATGGGTTGGCACACGATGGCATGTGGTCCAGTTGAATAGGGTTCTTTTGTAATACCGCCACCCATGCTCCTTTGTTTATGGCTACTTCTGTGCTAAAATGACAGTGTTGACTAATTTTGACAGAGTTAATATATCCTGAAAGCCTGAAATATTTACTATGGTACCCTTTACAGGAAAAGTTTACTGACCTCTTTTTTGAGGGGGCAGGGGGTATCTAAAAGGACTGGAATTATGTACTATAGAGGATGTGATGGTTAATGTTATAACTTTTTAAAAGTTGCTTTTCTTTGGAAAAATGTTTCAGAATAGACATTTATTTTGTTATGTTTTATTAACATGAAATTTGGGCATTACAGCAAAAAGTAAGCTCTTCCTCTTCATGGAAGAATTAAACAGAATCCTAAATGGATAACTGTGTTTTGCTTTTACTAGTTTCATGCGTTTCATCAGTCCCTCCGAGACCTCAGCAGTGAACAAGTTCGGCTTGGAGATGATTTCAATCGGGAATTTGCCAGAAGAAGCCGGTAAAAGCAGAATATGGTTTTTATTGGAGGCATAAGTTATTAGAAGAACATAAGAAGTTCTGTAATTGATATGTTTACATGAATTCAAAAACAGTGCTGTTTTTATACCAGTATTTTAAAATTTATTAATAGAACAGTTTAAAATCCTTTGAATTTAGAATGTATTGTGACTCAGTGTTAGACAAATTAAATTCATATTTTTAAAAACATGTTAACTTACTTCACTGGAGTACTGCCATTATGGAGAGATACATTGTGAGACCTTAGCAAAGAGGTTGATTTGCAAATAGTTGGAGAGAGACAGAGAGAGGAACAGAGATGGAGACCAGATCACCAACAGTGAAGCTTAAAAAAAAAAAAAAAAGCGTAGTTTGGAATTTGTCAACATGAGCCATTGTAGAATCCAGTATTTTAGCTTTCAGTTGAAATCTTCAAAAGTGAGCAGTTTATATTTGCCAGCTCTGCAGTTTTGTCAATTTTATGTAGTGCCCAGCAAATATCACCTTCTTTAAAATTTCCTCACTGTCTTTTCATTTTCATCATTAGCAGCGACAGTTGGCTTTCATTTGGAGGCCATATTTTCACAGGAAACCAAAGCCTTTATCCTTCTCTAGAGTCAGTCTCTAGAGTGACTCTCTAGAGTTCTTCTCTAGAGCAGTGATGGGGGAACAACAAAGCTGAATTGAAGTTTGTTTACCAAGTTCACTTGCTAACTCCCATTCCATCTAACAAAATCATTCCATACACCAGTTTTTTGTTGCTGTCTCAAAAAGGGTCAAAGCTATAAATGTTAAATATGTGATTATCAGCTGTACTCTGTGTAACTTACCTGCTTTTAAATGAGGAACATAGGAAATTTAGTAATAAGAATTAAAGACCTTACTATTACTACTATTAGTAGTTAATATTATGGAACACTTACTTCTTGCCAGATTTAGATTTAATTCTTATAACAACCCTAATGAGGTAATCATTATTTTTTCCATTTTTTGGATGTGGAAAAGGGTCGAGAGATGAAGTAACTCAGCTTGTTGGCGTTCAAATGGGGGTATGTGGTAGAGTCAGGATTCAGGTATAGGCATTACGGCCCCAGAGTGTCTGCTCTTTACCACTTACAGCACCCTGTGGTTCAAATCATTTTCATATATAGCAGGTATAAATAAAGAAATTAAGTTCCTGAATTTTGAGCTGTATTATGGAGTTGTATTGTCATTCTTTTAAACCAGTATTTGTTAGTTAACTTAAAACTAGGTATTTATTTTTGACAAGTTGATAAAATAAGCAAAATGGTGTCAACATTCTAGTATAGTCTGTTCTTGGATTGCTTTATTGTGTAGCTTTTACACATTTGAAGAAAGGGTGCAAATTAAGCACTAGGAACATGAATTTCAGGAATTTGTCCTGTTGGAAGACCCAGGAGAAATTGCAGGTTTGATTTCGTTAATTGGTTTCAGTGGTCATTTGGATGTGCAGTGGTAGACTGGGGATCTTCTGATCCATGAGCTGGTACCATCTGGTAATAGTTTGTGTGATCCAGAGGCATGTGTGAGGCAGAGAAACTTTATTTAAGCCAAACTAGAAGTCAAGTTTCTTGTGAAATTGGTGACTTAACTTTCTTGTGAATAGATGAGGAAGATATCCGGATCCAATTCTGCTTTACTTGTACCACAAATCCTTAATTTACGTTTATAAAAATACTGGGTAAGAGGTAGCTAGGTTAAATGTAGGTTTCTCTGTGATTCAGAAAGATTGATATTTAATGACTAATTTTTCATTTTTTTTTGATATTTATTGCAAAAGGTATATGAATAATGAATGTACTGGAAAGCAAGCTTTTAGAAAGCATTAATAAAGTTTAACTCAGAACTCACTTTGGATGCCATGTGGAAAATTTATTTGAGAAGGGCAAGTTAGGAAACTGTTGCATTAGCATGTGAGAGATGATTGCTTGACCATGATTCTGGCAAGGAGGAGATGGACATAGATATGTTTAAGACAGATTTTTGGAGACTGAAGAAACAGGATATGGCAGTAGATTGGATATGGGGGGTAAAGAGAATAAACCAAGGGTGACTCCCAGATGTCTGATTTGAGTAGCTGGGTAGATGGTAATTCCACTTCCTGAGATACAGAAGACTGGTAGGGATATGCCAGGTCTAGAGGTTAAGAGTTTGGCCTTGGATATGTTAGGTGTGAGATATTTGTGAGACATCCAGATGTAATATATGCAGCTAGATGTTTACTCTGGAGCTTAAAGGAAAAGTCTCTGTTAGAGATACAAATTTAAGAGTGGTGAGCATACAGGAGTGGTATTTGAAAATGGGTAATATCTAGCAGCTTTATGGAAAGTATCAAGGACAGGGCTTAGTGCCAAAAAGTTCCAGTATTAGAAGTCTCATATACACAAAAGAGGTGGCTTGAGAAGGAACAGCTAGTGAGATGTGGGAAGTCCAGTGGTACAAAGAACCACAAAGCCAAGAAAGAGGTGCAAGTAAGTTTTCAGAGATTTAAAGACTTAGAATATTTACCTTTAGGATAACTTCTTCTGAGTAAATTACCTAAGAACACATAAGTAAAGTAAAATGGTAACCAAGAAAAAGTAAGATACAGGTGATGAGAAATAATAAAACTAACCCAGAGATTTGGTGAAAGCAGTCCCCAGAATGGTAACCATGTAGCAAATCCAGGAAATATTCACTCTAAATTAGAGTAGGAAGTAGGTGTCCTTTGAGAAGAATGTAATCCACAAGAATGGAGTCGATTCTTAATAGGTGATTCTGTAAGAAGTCAGAGAAATATATTAATAATGTGATACATAAGGGCCATATAAGGCCAAAAGATAAGAAACTCTAGAAAAAACCAAAAGCACAAGACTGTTAACAATGTAGGTATGAAGCTGATGAAAATGGAAACATGATAGGACATAACCAAAAGCATCAATTCTTTATGATGGAATAGTTCATAAGAGGTATAAATATATTATGTAATTTACATAGGTAACCAGTAGAAAAACCAAAAATAGGAATGAATGTATCTGAAATTGGAGAGGGGTATCAGTGAACTAAATATTTCAAAACAGAGAGTTAATTGAAAGTGTCTAGAGATAAAAATGGCGGAGTTAACCAGCAAAAGAATGAAGCATGGAAGTGGTTGAGCATGGGTGCCAGTGGTGAGTGGAACCAGAGTTAAGGAGGTGTGAGAGAGGACGGGCTTTGGTTTTATTTGTAATTTTTTCAGTGCTGTTTCATTATTTATCATGTATGTTATTAATCTGTTAGGAAAAAAGGTAATAGGGAGGTAAGTTGATGAGGACGGACTTTGTACAGCACACACTGATGTAATTTGGTTACGGATTGCTAGAGAGGATTTGAGATCACATTTAGTCCTCCCCCCATTTCCTTTCTTCTTAATTTAAAATGAGACATATTGCAACCTACTTGTTTATTGAAGGTAATGGTCCAGTGTAGCGCTTGTTCTCAAAGTGTAATTCCCAAATCAGCACCATCAGCATCAACTTGGAATTTGTAGAAATGCACATTCTTGGATCCCATTGCAGATCTCTGATTCAGCAGTCTGTCTTAATAAGTCCTCCAGGTATTTCATATGTTTGCTAAGATTTAGGAACCACTGCAGTAGAATATTATGTAATAACATGTTGTATATTTCACTGTTTGTGTATATTTTTTCAAACAGCCAACTTAAAATATTTTTTTTTTTTTTTGCCTAGGTCGGATGCTGAAACAAAAAGGGCTTTGGAAGAATTAGCTGAAAAACTTAATGAAACCCAAAAGCAAGAAGTGGTGAGAACTGTTTGTTTATAAAACAAATTTCATACACAGATGTTAGAGTGGTGGGCCTGGTTGTAATCGCGCTCAAGTTTAGTAGATCTTAACTTTTTGGATGATACATGCCATTTTATCTAAATTATGTTCTTGTACTTCTTATAAAATGTTCATGAATTTGGGGTGTTTAAGATTAAAATATTTACAATGGTAATATATTAGAGATTGAATTATTATTTGTCTAATTTTTAGTTTCCTTATGAATATTCAAAAGATACTTTAAATTTCACTGACCCAGTGATTATATGGCTTTTCTTAAATGATGTTTTAGAAATACGGAATTTTTTGATAGGGACTCTGTAGCACTCCTCATTAAGTATTTTCATTTCACTTAGGTGTGTAATCAGTTGCTGGAAAGACTCCTAATTCTCGAGTTTTATTTTCTCAAACTCAGATTGTTGAGAGTCGTCATTCAGGGGTTTCTTTTAATCAACCCACTGTTGTTGGTGGAATTGAAGTGAAAAATGAAGTACATACAGTGTCTGTTTCTTTGCATCATCAGTTGTTTGTTTTAGGAGAAAAAAACATCAATAGAAATTGTCCTTAAACTTGGAAACTTATCAACTTAAGGAGCAATGTGTATTTATTCATATCCCATAGCACCTTTTGTTTTTTCAAGACCAGGAATGGTAGCAGAATTTTTTTCCATAACATGTTTTATTCAAACGGAAAGTATGTTAGCAGATATTTTTTTTCTGCAGTTTTTACTATGTTTATAGATCCTTACACAGATATGTTGAGTTTATTTTAGAATTTGAATTTATTGCCTGCATATGCTAAGAGACGGATATACTCTGTTTTCAAAGAGATCAACGTAGTTACTCTTTTTGCAGTGAAATTTGCCCATTTCAAAAATTTGGGTAAACATCTGGCCATATGAAAAGTACATTCTTCTTGTGCTCTTGGTGCTGATTTCTTTGCGAAGCACCCCAGAGAGGTGAAGATATTATGTGTATCTTCTGTTGAAACAGACAAGATCTTCACAGTTAGTGCGTGATGATATGGCATTTGATGTGTGATCAGAATATGGGATATTTCTTTTTTTACATCAAGTCTTAGATTTTTCCAGGCATTACCAAGATTTAAATTGTGCCAGTCTAAAATACCTTAACTATTGCACTTCAAAAAAAAAAGTATTTTCTCATATTAACAGATTGGTGCTTTTCTTAGTTAATTGCAGTGGTTTACACAGCAAGAAATCTATGCCATTGTCTGATTTTCATACTGTCTAAACAGGAGTGGAATGCACACACTTTTAAGAATGTAGCTTCAAGATCCTCTGTAGCTTAATAAATGATCTTCTGGCTCTTCTCCTATAATTCTAGAATGGAACCCGTCACCTGGCAGTGGAACCTGCTGAAGCTTCATCTTTTTTTTTTTTTTTAATTTTTAATTTTCTAAATTTGGAGGTATAATTTACTTACAGAAAAGTACATATATTATTGTAAAACTCAATGAATTATTACAAGGTGAACAGGCCCATTTTAACCACCACCCAGATCTAGAAATAGAACATTACCACTGTGTAAGAAGCCTCCTCATTCTCCATCCCAGTCACTAAATTCTCCTTCTTTTTCAAAGATGACCACTCTTGTGACTTTTTAATACCATTGGTAAATTTTGCCTGTTTTAAATATTTTATATAAATGGAATTATACAGGGTGTGTTTTTTATGTCTGTTTTTTGCTAATCTTGCTAATCATATACTTGTAGTTTGTTCATTTTTATTGCTCTTTGGCATTCCATTGTATGGATTTACCGCAATGTATTTTAACATTTTATGATGGATATTTGAATTAATTCAAATTTTGGGCTATTACAAAGAAGGCTGCCATGAGTAATCTTATTTATTATTTTAGTGCACATGTATGTGCAGTTCTGTTAGTATGTAATGTGGAGTGCAATTTCTAGGTGCCTTCAAATTTAGTAGATACTGATAAACAGGTTTCCAAAGTGGTTACGTTAATTTACACTCCCACTAGCAATGTAGGAGAATTCATGTTGCTTTTTATCCTTTCCAATATTTGGTATTATTAGTCTTTAAATAATAGCCATTATGATAGGTGTGCATAGTGTCTCATCATGGTTTTAATTTGCATTTTTATGATTACTAGATGATAAGCATTTTTTACATTTTGTTTTTTCCAGAGTTTCCAATTTCTTACTGAATTGCCTAGTAATAATCTACTCCATTCTTGTAGTCATTGGCAATTTCTTTTTTGAAATACTGGTTCATTTCTTTTGTTCCCCTTTTTTTATTGGCTTCCTTGTATTTTTGTTATTGACTTGTGGGAGGTCTTTATATATTTTGTATATGAGCACTATGTCAGTTATATGTATTTCAGTGTTATCTCCAATAGTCTTCAGCCTCTCATTCTCTTAACTCTCCCTTCATGGGGTCTTCTGTTAAAATAATCTAGTTCAGTTTTCTATCTTTTCTTTTGTGGTTAGTTTTTGTTTTTTTTGTTTTTTTTTTTTTTTTAAATCTGTTTAAGAAATTGTTCCCTATCTTCAGAACATGAAAATATTTTCTTATGTAATGTTCTAGAAGCTTATTGTTTCAACTTTTACATAAAGACTTAGTACGTACTTGGAATTGGTAAGTTGTTCAAGGTGTGAAGTAGGGATCATACATTTTATATGAATATCTATTGATGCAGTTTCATTTATTGAAAGAATCAACCCTTTGTTACTACTTTACAGTCCTGTCTTGGTCATACACCAAATGTTCACATTTGCAGGCTTCTGTTTCTGGACTTGTATTTGATCCTGTGGTTCATTTGTCTATTCCAGTGCCCATATCACATAGTCTTGATTACTGTTGCTTAATGATAAGTTGTGCTATAGTAGAGTTAGTCTTTTTTGTTTGTTTGTTTTTATTAAATATAATTTATTGTCAAGTTAGCTAACATACAACGTATGCAGTGTGCTCTTGGCTTTGGCAGTATATTCCCATGATTCATCGCTTACATACAATACCCACTGCCCATCCCAACAAGTGCCCTCCTCAATGCCCATCACCCATTTCCCCCTCTTCCCTGCCCCTCCCATAAACTCTCAGTTTGTTCTCTGTATTTAAGAGTCTCTTATGGTTTGCCTCCCTCTCTCTTTGAAACTATTTTTTTCCCTTCCCTTCCCCTATGGTCTCCTAAGTTTCTCAAGTTCCATATGTGAGTGAAAACATATGATATCTGTCCTTGTCTGACTTATTTCACTTAGCATAATACCCTCCAGTTCTATTCATGTTGCAAATGTCAAGATTTCATTCTTTCTCATTGTCAAGTAGTAAGTATACCATTGTATGTGTAAACCATATCTTCTTTATCTGTAAGTTGATGGACATTTGGACTCTTTCCATTATTTGGCTATTGTGGAAACCATTGCTATAAACATAGGGGTTCATGTACCCCTATGAATCAGCACTTGTGCACCCTTTGAATAAATTCCTAGTAGTGCCATTGCTGGGTTGTAGGATAATTCTATTTTTAGTTGAGGAACCTCTACACTGTTTTCCAGCGTGGCTGCACCAGTTTGCATTCCCTCCAACAGTGCAATTGGATTCCCATTTTTCCACATCCTTGCCAACATCCGTTGTATCCTGAGTTGTTAATTTTAGCCACTCTGATCAGTATTATGTGTTATCCCAATGTAGTTTTGATTTGTATTTCCTGATGATGAACAATGTTGAGCATCTTTTCATGTGTCAGCCATTTGGATGTCTTCTTTGGAAAAGTGTCTATTCATGTCTTCTGCCCATTTCTTCACTGGATTGTTTTTCGGGTGTTGAGTTTGTAAGTTCTTTATAGATTTTGGATACTAACCCTTTATCCGATATGTCATTTGCAAATATCTTCTCCCATTCTGTCGGTTGTCTCTTAGTTTTGTTGATTGTTTCCTTTGCATTGCAGAAGCTTTTTATCTTGATGAGGTTCCAGTAGTTCATTTTTGCTTTTATTTCCCTTGCCTTCGGAGATGTGTTGAGTAAGAAGTTGTTGCGGCTGAGGTCAAAAAGATTGTTGCCTGTTTTCTCCTCTAAGGTTTTGATGGTTTCCTGTCTCATGTTTAGGTCTTTCATACATTTTGAGTTTATTTTAATGTATGGTGTAAGAAAGTGATCCACGTTCATTCTTCTGCATGTTGCTGTCCAGTTCTCTCAGTACTGTTTGCTAAAGAGACTGTCTTTTTTTTCCATTAGATACTCTTTCCTGTTTTTTCAAAGATCAGTTGGCCACACATTTGTGGGTCCAATTCTGGGTTCTATTCCATTGGTCTATGTGTCTGTTTTTGTGCCAGTACCATACTGTCTTGATGATTACAGCTTCGTAGTAGAGGCTAAAGTCTGGGATTGTGATGCCTCCCACTTTGGTTTTCTTTTTCAACATTACTTTGGCTATTCGTAGTCTTTTGTGGTTCCATACAAATTTTAGGATTGTTTGTTCTGCTCTGAGAAGAATGCTGGTGCAATTTTGATTGGGATTGCATTGAATGTGTAGATTGCTTTGGGTAGTATTGACATTTTAACAATATTTATTCTTCCAATCCATGAGCATGGAATGTTTTTCCATTTCTTTGTGTCTTCAAATTCTTTCATAAATTTTCTATAGTTTTCAGCATACAGATCTTTCACATCTTTGGTTAAGTTTATTCCTAGGTATTTTATGGTTTTGGGTGCAATTGTAGATGGGATTGATTCCCTGATACCTCTTTTTGTTGCTTCATTATTGGTGTATAGAAATGCAATTGATTTCTGTACATTGATTTTGTATCCTACAACTTTGCCAAATTCATGGATCAGTTCTAGCAGTTTTTTGATGGAATCTTTCAGGTTTTCCATGTAGAGTATCATGTCATCTGTGAAGAGTGAAAGTTTGACTTCTTCTTTGCCAGTTTGGATGCCTTTTATTTCATTTTGTTGTCTGATTGCTGAGGCTAGGACTTCCAACACTATGTTAAACAAC